ACTGTGCACGTACTAGAAATAAATTCCCCGAGTGGGTTCTAAAGCAACATTTTTGGGAGAGAAAGAAAAATAGAATAGCAGAAGGCAGCTAAATTAACTCTTTGAGTCCCAGGGGGTTTAGCATCACAGGCCCAGGGGGTAGTAAAGAAAGCAATAAAATTGGCGCATCATGCGTTCATTGGGCTTCTAGGTAGGAACCTATGAACGTATGATGCGTTCCTTGGGACTCAAAGAGTTAAACAACAACAAAATCAAAAGTTGTGGTAGTCTGGGTTTCAACTTCACTGTAAACAAGCCACCCACGATTGTTTCATGGCTGTGCCAGTGAAAATCCCAAAATGCCTTGCACTGTCCCAATCAAAAACTAGTGATCAAGCAACCAGTCCTGGCTAAATCCAGAAATATGAACAGTAAATATTTAATGCAGTGGATAGAGGTGCCAACACTACCATTTGCCCGTCTGTTTAGTGATGGAAGTAGTCAGTCAAGATGAGCTGGCCACACACTCACAATATTAAGGCATAAGGCACTTAGCCAGCTCAAACGCAAACTGGCCACCTGCCATTTTCTGAATAACATGACAGACACCAAGGTGGGCACCAATGAAAGGCATTCCATATGAAACAGACAACACAAAATGTTGGTGATAAGCACTTAGCTCGGTAGCTTAGGCATCAAAACCATGGAATCCAGTCCATTTGCAAAAATTGCATTAGCAAACCGTGGATAAGCGCAACAACAGCTTTTTACTGAAAACCTGCCTATCCACTATACTGAACAGAAAAAAAAAATCTTTCTCCTCACAAAACAAGAAACACATGTGTCATCCTGATTTATATTTTAGATAAGCCAATTAATAATATATCAACCATTTCACTTTTACAGCAACACACACTAAAATCCAGTATCCATCCAAAAACAACAAAAGAGTGGGTTGAACCACTGCCAGACAACAGGTGGGGTAACTTCTTATCTGTACTAGGCAATGAACTGCAAATCGCTGCGTCCGTAAGCCAACTGATTAATCACTTGTTTTAGTATCCAGAAGCCATGAGTTGTTTCCGTATTATGGATATCGCAACCTTTGGTTTACATTAGTAAATCTTTAGCGCTATTGCCCACCCCCGGGAGTGAACCCGGAACATGTATGTGTCACACCGCCAATCCGGTTAAGCCAATACGTGAACGGGCTTAACATTAGATCACCATAGTTCCAAGTGGTTTACATTAGTAATTTAGCGCTAATAAAATATCTAGTGAACATGTATGTTTACAATGCCTGGCAATGTGAATACATTACAATACAGTGGTACTGAATGGAAATACATACGGATATGCATGTTAGTTAATCAAAAACATGTTGGTTCTTGACCGAAACAACACCACATACAATATAAAAACAATAACATGTGCAACAACAATGTTGACAACCACATACAATACTGCTGCATGGGTGTACAGAAGCTCCCAATTCATGAAAACAACAAGAACACACATAACAATGCTGTCTATGTCACACATGTGGCAAAAATTGGCACTTGCATACACACACAAAATCAGACTGCAGGGGAATGCCCAATGTGCAGTGATGTCGACTGTGACAAAATACCATACAAAATGTTAAATTATAGTTATTTAAATCCATATGCATACAGACACACATTCTTTGAACATTACATAAGGCACACAACATGTTTCACGGAAAATGATACATGTCATATATTCTCTAACTGTTAAAATATCTTATCTGTGGGACAAATTAAACTACTCTCATGGTATTTAATGCAATGACAGTAAAACATATAAACTATCCTAGCCTGAATAGTCATAATGAACAACTAAACTAAATAGGACAATCATCTTCTTCTTGTGCCCTCTGTCCCTCCAATTGAGCATAAAAAGACATTACAAGAGATTTTCTTATGGCCATCTTCATGCGTGAAGAATTCTAGATGCAAAAAGGATACGTTAAACTGATTGATGTTCCCTCCAACGTGTCTAAAACCAACCAGTTCAATACTCATTATTTTCAGGTTGGATTCTTACAAGGTTCATAATGATGAAAGTGAGAAATCTCTTAAAACTTCACTATGACTTGACTTTTTCTGCTTTGGGCTAATACTAAAGATTCGACAATCCTGCAACTCTTAGCCAGGGTCAATCTTTTTTTTTTAAATCTGCCTCGGTGCAGATTTGAGCCCTAGACCTTCAGGTCGACAAGCAAGCATCTAGATGCTAAAACACTGTGGTTCCTCCCATGGGAGATAATTTATACTGATTAAATCAAATGGAAAAACCAGTACTGCATATGCATGTTAGTGTAGCCCAAATTATATATCAAGTGAGATTATGTGTATGAAATCATAGATATCTGTCTAATATTTACCAAGCTGAAACTCTTATAGAGATGGATAACATTTCCAAAGGTGTGTGAAAGATGGTGTTTTTTTAAACATGCTGTGCTGTCTCCACAATAAAGGTTGGCTACAGTACGCCATCTCTGCCTTTGGGAATATAACTTGGTGAGACCTGGTCTCTTCCAAGGTGCGAATCTACTTCAAAAACATGAGCGACAGTCCTCTTTTCAAACTGCAGCGGGAATCAAATCTAACTACTCAGGGATCATGAAATTGTTAAATACCATCACTAGCCTTCAGCCAGAGAATCGCAGATGTGGTTATTTGAGAGCTTTAAATCATGCAACAGAACCATTTATTCCAAACTCACAAGGTTGCTATGATTTAGAAGGAAATACTTTCAACTGGCTTAGTTTGATTAAAATAATACTTATATGTCTCAAACAGGTGGCAACTGGAACAAATTACAATTACAAGATTATTATTTATACTGAACTTTTTGCTACAATATATCCTACCAGCCTTTTGATATAGATCAAAAGGTCAGACTGGCCAATTAACTACAAATAAAAATGAACCATTAACAAACTAAAAAGCAGGGCGGATCTTGGTGGTTTGGCGTCCCATTTATAGCTCTAGAGTAATTTCAATGTTGAACCAACATTTGCATGGACTGACCGACCTGGCACCCCAAAAATATATTTTCCTTTAAATGATTCATAAGATCTTTTATTAGTCAGATATGGATATGTGTGTAAAGGTGTATGGCTGTTAAAACAAACAGATGTCTAATATTACTCTAAACCTATTTTACCATCACATCACACCAAGGTATGTATATTAATTAAATGACAGGAAACTAAGCATTAGAGGTTTATGGTTAATAAAGTATCAATATTACAGCACTCTAGGCAAACTACAATGCTCAGCCTCTATCAGCAAATGCTGAAAGCCATTGAAGAATCAATGAGGCTGTGATCTATTTTTGGTACCACTAAGGAATCCTGGTTATATTAAGGTAGACTCCTACTGCCAATTACCACACAGCACACGAAGGCATTAGGCCACTTTTCCCAGATTATTAATCCAAAAATTACTACGACCAAAAAGCTTAACGAAAGGGGGAACAGGAACAACGTGCATAAAACAGACAAATCAACGATTCAGCTGGAGCCCTTCTCAATATGAAGTACACAGTAGCAGCAAAGAGTAAATCAATGTTTGGTACCCAAGGTTGGCCCTATTTAAGGGTTGAACTGAAAGGGGGGAAGAAAAATTCAGCTGCTAGTTGGGATTAAGCTGCAGTTCACTGTGATGATTAGCAGGGATTATTAATTAATTACTGTCAACTAGTTTAAAGCTTAGAGAGGGGACAGACAGCTCTGCAACACAATTCCTATGGTGATGTATTTCAGTACTTGTTCTGGAGGAAAGTCTTTACACTTTTATTTTTCTGATAGATGGATGCGTTTTTTTCCTAAGGGTTAGGAACATGAATGCCAGTGCAATGTTCTCAAAGAATTCTTCTGCGTTCTCCTTTAAAATGGTGGCTGGTATGTTGTGGTTTACAGCTACAGCTTTTTCTTCTTATTGTCCGTATCGTATGGCAAAGATAATCATGTCTTTCCACAACCTAGTCTTGTGTACTTTCAACTGATTCTAAATCGATGATCTTCCATGCCATGATGTCAAACTGTCGGACTCTTTCAGTCTCCCTCTGCCTTTTTTATCTCCATCTTTTCCATGATGTACTCCAGTTTTCTTCTTCTCAAGATATGACCAAGGAATGTAGATTGTCTCCCTCTGGTGTCGGCAATCATTCTTTTTTGTGAATCAGTTTCTTACAAGACGTATTCAGTACTCTTTTGATCTGTCCACAGTATTCGCATCATTCGTTTACAAAACTACACCTCCACTGCTTTCAAAAAAAATTTTTCTAATTGTTTAGCTGTCCGTGATTCCCTTCCATTTTATATAGCCCTTTTAGCTACAGCTAGGCAATGTCAGAGTTGACTGAAAGTACAAGAGACAGAAGGTTGTGGACAGATAAAACTACCAACGCCACACGGCATGGACTTTAAGAAGAAAGCAGTAATATGTGTGATTTTCAGCCCAGCACATCCAATAGAAGCAAACCCTTATGAATGCTTTTTAAAGGGCTGTGGATCTACTGTTATTTCCACAAAATTTGGACCCCGGAACAAACAGGGAAAGTGCTCAAAGAATTACAACGCACTGTCAGAGGATCTGCAAAAAATCAACAAACAAACCATGTAACAGATGTATATTAAACTGCAGTTGTCAATGTTAGAAGAAATTAAAACCTGTAAATTCTTATCAGCTACAAAAACTAGAACAGGATGGGCATCTATGATAACAGAAAGTATTACAAGAATTTTTTTTTTAAAGGTAACAAAAAAAAAAGCTTATTAGAAGCAAAAATTTCACCTCTGAAAAAATTACAGAATATAATTTAAAGCAAATAATATAGAGCAATTTTCCACAAGTTATTTTTCCTTGAGAAAGTTAATGGTTTGATAATTCTTGGACCAAGAATTTGTCAAGCATGCGTATATTATTACAGTGAAATGAAATGCAGAGAGGAATGTTTCCTTATAAAACAGGCAATGAAGCTGATCATACCCAAGTTATAGTTCTCTAGAATCAGCTCCGGGGGTGTCTCCGAGTCCAGATCTGCTGCTAAAATACCCAGTGGGTCTAGGTCGCTGACATTGTGACCTCTAATCTATACGTGTACAATTAATGAAGAAATGGTTGCCAGTCAGTAATGTGAAATCTAATTTAAAATGTCACATGTTAAAATCAATATATAAAACACTGTCCTATGTGGTTCTACAACCTTGAGTAAAACTTAGAGACAAATTCTTATTACAAACGTTTTGGGACAGGGTCTTTCAATGAATCTTTGGACCCAACAAAGAAGTAAACAGTGGAGCTAATAGACTGACGGTTTGGGATATACAAAGAGAATGGCAGATAACAGAGGGACAAAAAACTGTACCCAAAAGAATCGCATAGGAGTAGACCATCAGGCATACCAAGAAAACAATGGAGAGAATATACAGACAGACCTACAAACATTTGGATTTACTACTTGGAAAAAGAAAAGCCAATCAAAGAACGAACGAACGAACAAACAAACAAACTATTTTCAAAGGGTTAAGAATTGGGCACGCAGGCCCGTCTACCGTTCTGCCCTTCTATTCTCCCCCCTTTTATAGATCATTTCATTAAGACATCAAGTATTAGCAAAATTATCAACAGAGATGAATAGAGGTAGGTGGCACCTGCAACAATAACCACAAAGGCTTTGAATGCTGATGAAAAGGAAATAATGTTAAAATGTGCCCTGTTTCTGTTTATACAATTCTGATGCTTTCCCAACATTGTAGCTAACATCTTTTGTCAATCAGTGTGGCTGCACAGTCAAACTAACACCATTAAATGGGCACTACTAGACAATCTTTAGAACTGTCTGGGAAGGCAAAGCTGCAAGGAAGAGAACCGGTCACCCTCACCTCATTGACCAGAAGTTGTGATAACCTAACACTACACATCCTCCAGGCAGTATACGTCTCTGAGACACATTCAGTCCTTTTATCTTGAGAAGCCTGAATCTAGCTGTGCCACGTCCCTGTAAATGCAACTATTTGGCCACGTTTGCAGTGATCTGATCTCCACACAAAAAAGCAGTTAAATTCCACAGATCCTATGTGCCCCTGTGCAGTTTTTAATGGGCCAGGATATGATTATAGTAACTAAAAACAGCATTTTGAGGTGTTTCATTATGAACCCAATGTTGTTGTGTTTTTTTAAAGCCAATTTGATGTCACATTTTTCCATAAACCCTATTGATCTGTCTCAGGGTCGCGACAGGAATCACCAAATACATTTTTAATGTGTCTATGAACTATTTTTTTAGCACTCCCCAAGCAGCATTCCCTACAGCAGCATTCATGATCAGGTCCTGTATTACTAGTGAAACCACTGAGCAGTGACTGGACAGTACGTTTGTTGGGTCAGTAATAAACTAGTCAATACTTGCCGATGGGTGTGTCTTTATCTACTGTGTTCATACTAATATAACAACTGTACCAAGAGAAGGTCAGCTGGTCTATTGGCTCAGATTGACCCTAGACAGAGCATTATTTCACTCGTTGAATTGGCCCTCTGCTAGATTTACACTTATGGAGAGATATGAACTTACAGCAAAATGATGATCTATTTTTGGTCATATATGAGACAGGACAAATCTGATTAACAACTGGAAAGACTGGGTGAGTAAACAGAAAAGATCAATAGATGGAGAATGTGACCCATTTGTGATGAAGTTGAAACCTCGCTGGAAGCCTGATAAAGAAAAAGTTTGGATAGTATTTGTCTGACAGAGTAGCATGGAACACAATCAGTGATTGAACATCAAGAACATGGAAGGCATTATGATCTGCTCCACTCAGCACGACATGTGATGAATGTCTGAGATTTGTACCTCCTGTTTATTTTCCCAATTCCTTGGATAGTGAGCTTTACATTTTTTCTTGTGGTTAAAAAAAAAAAGACATTATATTTTGTCCTCTTCTGAACAGTTCTGGAACTTTTGTTAAAGCAAAGCCTATCAGCTTCAACTCCATTTGAATTCAAGCTCAAAGGAATACATTTATACAACCTCCAATTAAAAGCTGAAAATACTAACAAAGCTAATTCAAGCAGAAATATTAGGCAGGTAATAAATTTGAAATAAAGTAAAACAGCTAAAAGAAAGTCAATAATTTCCAGTAACACTTTTCAGGGCAGTGTAGGACAGGATCTTCTGGACATCAAGGAAGATTGGCTAGTAAACAGCATCTTGTCATGGAGACTGAAATATTTTAGCCATATCAAGCACCATGTCGGACTGGAAAGAATAAGAAAGGCAATGGTACCAAGAAAGAGAGGTAGAGGCTGACCAGCACGAATATGGACACAGGGACACAGGATGCAGTAACATCTTGGGTAGGAAAATGCATGAGGTGGGAGAGCTGGTGAGATAAGAAGTTTCTTTTAGGCAGACTGTGATGATAGTGATGCAAAGGACCTACCACATGATGTAGAGCAAGTGAATCTTGAGCCTGAGGATTTAAGGCTACACAGCTTGTGCAGTCACCATGAACTGTGCAGGCTGGAATTTTTATCTACTCCCCCCCCCCCCCCACCCCCCCCCCCCCCCCCCCCCCCACAACAGAAAAAGAAAATCTCCCTCCTTTACTGAGGATCCTTCTTCTTCTTCGCGTTCTAGCTGCCTGTCCACTTATGGACTTTAATCTTTTTCTAGCAATTGAGTACTATTTGCACATCCATTTCATAGATCTGGCTTATTTGTATGCAGACTGTTGGTTCCTCACCTCTTGGGCAGATGCATTCCAACTTCAAAGAGAAAACCCCAGCTTAGTCACCTTTTATGACATGCTTGATAGGTGACAGTTGGCTATTCTGTTCTGTGCCCAAAATGGGTTCTAGATACCAAACAAGGAACTATGAATCAAAAAAGCGTTTACATCAAGACAGCCCAACGCTCTAACCTCTCCGCTCTTGAAGTTAATAACTTCAAATATTGGTAATATTTACTTACATACTTATCAGATCAGAACATATTAAATACACATAGATCTTAAATGTATACATTAGTACTAGTGAGAAATTACCGAGCTGTCATTTTAGTATTAACAAAGACAATATTTTATAATTTATGAGAAAGTATTTTTTAACTGAATCAGCTATAAATCATCCATCTTAATCTAAACACAAAAAAAGATGTAAAGACTGAAACAGTTTAACGTCTGCTGCTCTCTAGAATAGGAAATCATTACATTCATATTCTTTACAGAAAGCTGAATCCCAAGTCCATCATTTGCTGGCTGTTTGTGGTTTTACTAGGCAACTTTACATTCAGTAGTTTGCCACTGCTTTCTGAATAGTTTGATGTTCACAATGTTGTTAAAATCAACACAAAGTCGCCTGTTGTCAAATCATCTGCAGATGACTTTAAACCTTGGTACCCCAAAATTAAGAAACTGTTCATAATCCTTAAGCAACCAGAAGAATAGAGGACTTAAATGATCTTAGATCAAATAATGAAATATGTTAGGAACAATGTATATAATTAACAAGCAGATAATGTATTGATCAGCACTCATTCAAGCTATACAATAGACATGGTGAATAAAGACACTTTTTTTAGGTGTGCCTAGTTGGTCATGTTCTTAGTTGACTTGTTTCCATAGCGAGGTGCAAACGCCATTTGGAGGTGAAAGGTTCAATTCCCGTCCTGGTTATTATAGCTTTTGATTTTTATGTTGTCTAGTGTGTCCTTCTATCTTTCTATGAGTGCTAATCAATACATTATCTGTTTGCTTATTATATATATAATATTTGTACGGCCTCAAGTGCCCACCCTCCCCAATGTAGTGTTTTCAGTTTTTTGTTAACTGTACACAGGTGATCCTTGTCTTCTCTCAATGTAAGTACTGTATGAAGTTTACCGCCATCTTTTACTTATTACTACTGTGTTTGAAAAAGAAACCAACAATTTATTTACAGTAAAACAAAGAAAAAACAATATATTAAAGTATGTTACCAAGTTAACAATACTTTGTTAGAAAAACATAATTATTTTGCTTGAAATCATAGCAGGCATCTCCAGGACTACACAACACAAAATAAGCCTTACTTATGTGGATGCCAAAGCTGCCTTTCCTTGCGAAGGTCCCCAAATTGAAATTCATTCCACCCAAATTAGGCCACAGCCTCTTCTTCTGTAAGACAGGCCTGCGTGCCCAATTTGTGACCCTTTAAAAATAAAGTTGTTGGTTCGATCTGTTCATTGTCCCTGCCAGTTGTTTTCAGGTGAGAAGGCCAAAAGCCTCTATGAAGGCTGAGGGTGTGATGCATGTCCTCACACAGCTTGGTTTCCACCGAAATGCCAGCTGACTAGACATGGGGCCCTTTCTACTACATGTAAAAGCAGAGTCAAGCAGCTTCCTCATTATCCAGTATGCTGAAGTGGGCTGATATCCTCTAAACCATATTCACATCGCATCAGGGCTTGTTCTGGCCATACACAAGTTTATGCAATACCAGAATTTTGTATGGGCATCCTTTTTTTTGAAACTCTAAGGTGTGTACTGGCACCTTTATTCTTAAAAAAAAAAAAACACACACACACACACACAAGTGGATACACGGCTGTCTATTCTCCAATATTTATTATGTTAGGTGGTATTGGGAAAACCCTATAATTATTAAGAAGTATGAGTTATGAAAAGCAACATCGACCCTTTGAGGCTACAAAATAGACAACTATCAGTTTGTTATCGCAAAGTGTATCTCTCATTGGTAACAGGTTATACTAATGATTTGAGACTATAGTCTTCCCCGCCCCGTACCTTAGCAGAGATGATATTTGATAAATGACAAAATTGGAGATATTAATGCATAAATTACCTGGTAGGAGCGAATTATTGACTGCACAGACAGATGATCTTCTATTATCTTCTCATCAACAGAAAGACCTTGTGCAACAGCATGAGCTGAAAGTGCCATGGGCACTAAAGACGTTCGCAGGGTTGGAGGAGCCACATATGCCTGCCCAGGGGGCACCCCACGTGCAGTCTGTCTGAAGAATGCATCCCAGGACTGAAAAGGCAATAGTAAAGACTGGTCATTGGATAGTGTTATAAACAGTTTTAACAGTTGAAATAAGACAGAAAACAAGCCTGAGAGTAATCAATGATGCCAGATTGTCAAAGCAGCATTACAAATTACAGAAAAATTAGTCCTCTGCCAAAGAGGCACCTAACTTCAATGGTTGCTTGTTTTGTGAAACCTCTCAGTCGATGTCAAGCATGACTCACTGGCATTTGGGCTGTTTCAGCGCTGAAGAAGATTTGGGTCTTTTAAAGTGAGGCTGGTGTGACCACCTTTCTCCTGGTCTGGTGCCAGTGAACCACCTTCCTCCTGATTAGTGCTAATCTACCACCTTCCCCTTGAAACAGTGTCAGCCCTTTCTTCCGATCTAGTACTAACGTGTCACCCTCTTCATGATCCAATGTGATACTTTCCCCTTATATAATTTCAATGTACCATTTTCCCCCTGATCTAAAGCCAATGTGCCACCTTCCCCAATTTACTTTCAATGTGCCTTGTTCCCCTGATCTGTTGTCAATGTGCCTTGTTCCCCTGATCTGTTATCAATGTGCCTTGTTCCCCTGATCTTTTGTTATCAATGTGCCTTGTTCCCCTGATCTGGTGTCAATGTGCCTTGTTCCCCCTGATCTAGTGTCAAGTGCCGCCTTCCCCCAATCCAGTGTCAATGTACCACCTACACCCGATCTAGTGTCAATGAGTTACATTTCCCGATCGAGTATTAACGTACCACGGCCCCCCTCAGAGTGACAATGTATACCACCTTCCCTTTACTGTGTGGTGAGTACTAAGAAAAAAAAGCTTTGGATTTTAGTTATTTTATTGTCAGATATACACACTCAGTAATTTTTTTTAAACTCCGTTAACTTTGGCAACTATGTAAAAATTAATCTACAAAATATTTAAAAAATTTAATCTGTGTGTTAAAAATAAGCTTTAAAAACTGGTTTAAACCTCTGGTGATAAACTATGTTAATATATATTTACTAAACACAGTTTTGTTAAAATTAGGCTACTAAGAAAAAAATGGACTATAAAACAGTCACTGTAATACCTTATGAACACTGTTCGGATCCCGCTGCCAGGCTTCAAACATGTCCTCAATATATGCAGAAGAGCTGCCATTCAAAAAGGGCTCTGCTGCAGCTTGTGTGCTAAAACGCCTTCTAAAGCCTGAACCTGTCTGCCCTCCAACAGCTGAAGAAGTTGCACAGCTACGATACAGAACTGGCAGCTCATGGAAGGACCGACTTAGCGGGTAACGTAGCAACAGGTTTTTGATGCGGTGCATCTTCAAACCGTAACGTCCGAGCTACGTGAAAATGCCTTATGTTGTGACAAAAACTGGCTTTTGATACAGCCAGCCTGACCTCTGGGGTGCCTGTGAGCACCAACCAAGATCTAACAGTTACCTGTTGCTGTTTTAAGAGTTCTGTGGGCCGCTTCAGGTGCAAAGTTCTAAAACAAATAAACATTTAATTAATGATGTATGCTGATTCAAGTTCTGTAGAATTAAACTAGAAACAAAACACATTTCTTCTTCTTCTTCGATTGCACTGGCTGTAAACTCAAGGGGAAAAGTTCTGGTTGCCTAGCCCTGTTCCAGAACCTAAGTACTGCATGTACATCCATTTTACAATCTAACTCATTTTTATACAGAGTTCTTTGCCTCTTAGGCAGATACACTTCCATTCCAAGGAAGCTCCCAATTATTTGACTCTTACGGCATGCTTTTGGGTAGGCAGTGGATCTAGTCGTGTTCCCCCCCCCCAATGGGACCATGGAACCCACATGGGGAAAACAGAATGCACAAATTCTAACAAACACTTATTTATGTTCTGTCCTTAATATACAGAAAAAAGTATCAAATGCCTCATATATACATAAATAAACTTGACAGAATTGAAAGGATAGGATGGGCAGTATGAAACAATGAGACTGCAAGATGTGCTGTGAACTAGAACCAGCAGAGTAGAAAGACCAGGACAGCTCATGAACCACGATGTTAAAATCAGGAAAGTTTGATTAATATGGAGAAAGCTGAAAAGGGAAAATCCAGAATTTGAACTAGTCGAGTCCACTTAAGTCGAACTCGGACAAGTCGAATTTCGGTTAAGTCGGCATGACCAGCTTAGTCCTGGCAATTTTCTCTATTGTGTGTGCTGTCTGGATAAGTAGAAATCCTGATAAGTGGAAGCATTTTCTTAGGTCCCTGCGACTTCTAGTATCGACTGCAGTATCAATAAATTAATAATGCAATCCTGTGCATGCATATCCATTTTACAGATCTAGCTAATCTGTATACAGACTGTTGGTTCCTCGCCCCTCAGGCAGGCGGTTTGTGACTTCGAAGCAAACTTCCTTAATTAGTCAACTTTTATGACATGCTTGATAGAACAGCATCTGGTCTATTCTTTTTCCCCTGGGACCCCAGAACCGACATAGGGGACATAATTATTTACTAACATTTCAGATCCCATCAAAATAAACTATTTTAAACTTTGTAAAACCGAAATAATACATTAAACCCAGTCATAAAACAGTTAACGTTAATTGTAGGCTGACTGTTATGATTGTTATTGCTGCAACTATTGATCACAGTTAGGTCCAAGTACTTAACAAAATTATCAAATGAAAACCAGCAATAGTGAAATAATAGCAGTTGGGACAGCAACAACAAATGCTGATGATACAGGAAGTAGCAGCAGCAGCTGTTTATTAATACACCAGTAAGAGTAACAGTAGCAGCAGTAACATAAATGCAGCAAAAGTAGCTGTAGTAGAGTAGCAGCAGCAGTAGTAGTAATAGTTGAGTAGTTGTAGTAGTAGTAGCAGCTGCAGTATTAGTATTAGCAATAGCGCCAATTGCAGGAACAGCATAGTAGTTAGTAACATGTGGCAGTAGTGTAGCAGTAGTGCTAGCTGCAGGAAAGAGCCCCAGCATCCTTGGTTAGAGTATGAGGTTTAGTGGTTGTTCTCACTGGACTATATGAGTTCTGTAATGTGTTAACTAACAACATTTTGGCTTCAGTAATTTTTTTAAAATTTATTATTCCTTTAATTCGTTCCTCACATCTTTTTAAACAATAAGTTGGTAGGCCTAGTACTACTATAAGTATAAGTATTATACTAGTGGAAAGTCCAGGAAAGAGAGAGAGGAGAGAGTGTGGTGTGAGTGTTCAGGTGAAGAGTTTTAAAATCCTAGAAAGAACATTTTATAAAAGATGAAAATTTAAAGCAAAGCACAACTGCAATAAACCAACCTTGAAATATCCGAAGCCTGTTATGCTCTGATTAAATGCTTCAGTTGCGAAGTAAAAACATACAGTCTTCTATTCAGATAAGCCTATCTGATAGGTTCATCGGTTTGTTTTGTTCGACCTCTGCGCCGGAAAAACAAGTTTATCGAAAAATGGAGCACACAGCAATTCGGCCTGAAATAAAAACAAATAAGAATGTCGTGATGTAGTTTAAAGATACGTTGTGACAAACTGGGTTTTGAAATACTGTAATTATCCAAAAATGACGTTAATTAAACGTCGACTTACTAGTTTTTTCCCCAGAAAAAGACGGAAAACCTCCAGTCTTCTCCAGTCTCCACCTGGGTGGGAATAATAGTTTGACGTCACGAATCTGCAGACGATAACTCTGATTGGCTGGCGGCATCCGTGTTGCTCCAGGGCCAGCCAATAAGCGGGGACCCTGCCATAGTGAATCTAAAGGTAACACATGGTGATGATACAGAGCAATAATGTGCAACAGGTCAGAAGTGAGGACGTGGTCACCGCTCAGGCAATTACTTTATGGAACCAAAGAAGCAATCGGCCTTGCCCTAGCTAACCCCCCGGTCAAAGTGCACATCTTCACAGACTCTCTAGCCGCAGTATTAGCTCTCAAATACCTCAGCAGAGGCTCTAGACAAGACGTCAAAAGAAGAGATACTTGCGGCAGCAACGGAGCTAACAAACAAAGGATGCGAACTGACAATATGTTGGATACCAGAACATAAAGGTATAGCTGGAAACGAAGCGGCCGATTTAGCTGTCAAACAAGGCATCAACAGCGCTGATGTCCTAAATATAGGATTAAGCAAGTCCGAAGGCCGCGCAGCCACTAAACAACTTCTGTTAAAAGCCTGGGAAATCCAGTGGCAAAACTGCAAGCAAGGGAGACAGCCTACAATCTACTAAGGAAACCAAGGCCCCAGCCTCAGATAAAAGAGCGAACGAAAATCCCGACCATCAACAAGCTCTGGAATCTGAGGCTGGGATATTGGGCCGACGTATACAAAAATCCAACGTGCACCACCTGCAGATGCCAAAACTCAATAGGCCACTACCTGATAGATTGCAAGAAGCATGATATCTTTCGAAAACCAATCCTTGACTACTGTGCGACCCACAAAAAGAAAGTATCCATCACAGAGTGGCTGCACACCAACAGCGACAAAACCCTGGAGGCGCTAGTCAAACAATACATCAGCAGAACCGCAGGCAATCACCGCCCGGTAACTGACCCCACCACAGAAACAACCCAGATTACAGCCCCGACAAGCAGTACGAATCAAGAATGAGTCGCCACGACCCAGCCCGGAGGAGACGGCAACCCGGCGAGCAAACAGACGGATGAGGCCAACGAAAACAAGATCCGACAGCAATCTCCCCTTACCTAGCAAGCTATCTATCTCACTCACTCCTTCGACCTTGCTTTATGTCCTACTCAGCTTTTCAAGCTTTTAATTTTCTCTTAATTTTTTTTTTTTTTTTGCATAAACTGTGTTACAGCCTCACTACTTCTATACCATGTGTGGCCAGAATAAAACTGGATAAAAAATTGAAAAAAAGAGGCCAAAAAAAAAATAAAAACCAAACCAAAAAAAAAAGGCAAAAAAAAAAAAACGCTAAAAGCACTTACACATGTAAGATGCAAAAAATAAAAGCACAAAAAAGATTTTAAGTGGGACCCTGAAAGGTGCCGTGTGGTTGGAGCTC